CTAAACAAAGCTACAAAGTACTTCACACACAAAAATCCATGGCAAAAAGATGAATGAACTGTAATAAAAGGTATTTCATTCAGTTCAATATTAAGGGCCAAATCATAATATAATAAGGTGAAGGCCTTAAAATTTGTAGAGCAACCCCACAGTTCCCACAATGAGCAGCACTCTGGTTCTGCTAGAGGTCTCTTCCTCTTGATCACTTAAATGTCCTTTAACAGTAAGCATACAGAGCCCTGGAGACTTATCATCTATAATCTACAATGAAATGTTAGAAGGGAACTGGGAAGTGGTTCCAATTCAATACAACAATAAAATCAAGCACATGATATTTTTGGTTTTGACTAGACAGTTTCAGAGTGATGGTTGTTATGTGTAAGTGGTGGAACTGACAAAATAATTAAAGCATAGCTGATCAAAGTCAAACTGAACTTTTGTTAAATGCAGAAGATGTCTAGTCTTGGTTGCATTTAATCCTCTCCTGCATTCAGAGCATGCCTCTATGAGGAGAGGAGGACTCAAACTGAAGCACAGGACATGTGTGCCTTGTGACTATGCAGCCACAGTATAAATGAGTGCACATAATCAGTTTTCATCAGTAACAGAGCACATTTGCAGGAGTAATAACATTACTCAAGTTGTTATTTTCATACAGGGCAGCAGCTGTGGCTGGAACAACTACATGTTTGGGTTGTTCATCTTTCCATCCCTATTCTTGTGAATGTGATATCTCTCTTCACATTACAAAGGTTCACTTGGACTCACGTATTAATTTTGGCCATAATTGTCAGACTAATATTCAATTGGATAAAATTATGAATTTAAGACATTTAATATCCAAAAGGTCAGGGTCAACTTAACTTTGACATCATAACGTTCAACAAGAACACCTCAGCCATTATTAAACACTGTAATGTTAGCATTCTAACAGGTGGTGAACAAGGAAAACCCACCCTATATACATGTATGTCGTCATTGCAGGGGAGTGAGACCCCGTTGACCTTCTCAGCCATCCCTATGTATGTGATTGAAGGCTTTGAAAATGGCATAATATTCATTGAGCCTATTAGGATCAACTTTTGCTAGCCTGTTATAACCTGAATCGCACATGTGCTTTGTGTCTTTGAGGTCACAAAATTGCCCTTACATTTTTCTTCAAGTACTTCAAGTTTTGAAGCAGTCTACAGCATAAGTAGCCCTTCTTTTATGTACGAGTTTGTTTGTCATTGCTGGTTGGTGTCCCTCCTGTTCAGAATGTCCACTATCTGTGTCATATTCACTCTCCTCCAGTTTATTTATGTTGTCTTCATGTGGTGTGAGAAAGAATGCCACTTACAGTCCAACTCTATAAACAATAAAGCATCAATGAAATTATAGATGTGTATCATTGACCAAGGTTCATCCTTTTAAGCTAACAAAGAGATATGTCGTACTGAGATTTTGGAGACTTGTGAGTTAACCTGAATCCCCCCCACCTTCTGCCTCTAGGATCTGCTACAGTTCCCATGCTGCCTATTCTCAAAGCAAATTGGCTCTGGTCCTCTTCACCTACTACCTGCAAGAGCAGCTAACAGCTGGTGGCTTTCCAGTTACTGTCAATGCTGTGGACCCTGGTATGGTGGACACAGCCCTGTATGAAAACCTGTACAGCCTCGCACAGATGTTGAAGAAACCAGTGGCCAAGATTCTGTTCAGGGTACATATGACTTGTTTTGTGTTAACACAGTCTAATTCATTTTACAATCTACAATCTATCAAGTATAAGCAATGCAGCCACCAAAAATAATGTTTTTAAGCATGGTGGTGATTTCCATTTTTTGATATATTCCTCCATGATTTTAATTATTAACAATTAATTATTTTTTTCAGTATTTCATGTACAAGAAATACATCTCATACATTTATGAACTGTTTGCCCCAGTTGCTTCAAGTATGTACAGCACAGGCATAAGCTAATTAGTCCACGCCATTGGCTTCACCAGTGGTAACTGGGTAACCATTAAAGTCACCTGGAATCAGGTGACAAACAGTCCCCTATCATGTGTACCTATATGCCATATAACTATTCCATCTCAGTTAATCAAACTATCTTGACTTTTGACGATGTAGACATATACATGTAATGACATTCTATTAATTTTTATTTAATTCTCTAAATTATATCAAATCTGCATTCATTTAAATAGGTTCTAATTTACAAAATTGTATATATTACCCGGTGCTAGATTTCCTGACTGGTACGTATATAGGTCCAGATTTATTTATTTATAGCACTTCTTACTTAAAGTTACAAACAGCTTCCCAGCAAACATGCAAGAGAGTAAAGATTAGGCAAACACCAGCTACGGATATATGTGAGTCTTGATTGTTATATTTTTAAATATAATCTACAGGGAGTTGGACATCTCGACATTAAGGTTTAAGACAGCTAATGCAAAATATTTTACCTTTATTTAATCTAAACAAGTACTGGGATATTCTCCTTTGAAAAAATACATAAAAAGAAAAAGGGCTATATCTAAACTGCAAGTAAAATAGGGCCAAGAACAGATGTGGGGTCACTCCACAGCTCAAAAACGTACGACCACTAGTGAAAACGTTTTTTTTTTTCTTCTAGATAGGATATAAATCAACAAACCCAGATGGACCACCCATCATCTCAATCCTTGATTATATTCTTCTTGCAATAGCCTTCAGCCTATATATGAAACTCAAATATTCACATGTGAGGTTTAGAAAAATAAAAATGAGATTTCTTCAGCGTATGCATGAATGAGAAAATAATTTAGCACCCTCTGGAATGACGTTCAGATTAACAGACAAACAGCTAAGATCAACTCCATCAGATCCTATTTTAAAAGATGTTATGAAATGTTTTAAATCCTAGTGTCTGATAAAGGCCTGTTTGGTAGGATATCATAAACTTCAATAACGTTTTAATGTATGATAATGATATTATCATATCCATAGAAACTTTCATTAATATAAATTTTTCTTTTTCTTTTAATCTCATGGTTGTTGTCAATATCAGCACATCATGACACCCATAATTGCAATGTAAAGTTCCATCAGCATTTTTGAACGCAGAGTATGCAAATGTTCAAATCTAAGTAACCTTCTTGTCAGCATTTTATTCCAAGTTTATCCACGGAAGAGTGGAAAATTGAAAAGAATCCGCTGAATCTATATTAGAAATCAATTCATCAAACGCTTCTGTCTCTATACACGTAACACTTAATGTTTACTTTAATGACATTCATAATGTCAGTACATTATTTATATTATTAACCAAAGGTTTAAGCCTTACATTTTAAGGGATCATTTGCAAGGTTCTATTGTATCAGTATCCTTTAGAATGTTTCAGTGGTCAGTTGGAAGGTTCTAGTGGTCCTTTGGGGGTTGTGGAGATCGTTTCAGAGGATGTAGTGGCCAGTAAGGAGTTTTTAGGGGTATTTTGGTGATTCTAAAGGTCACATTTTTAAAATAGAACAGTTTGCAAAGGTTTACAACCACCTTTGGTGCATCTTCATATTAAAATACATCTAAATATTAAAGATAAAAGCACACAGTGGAGTCAGTGGTCTGTTAGACTGTATATAGCATACATAATTCTGGAAAAAGTGGAATGTAAATAGTTTACATTGCACCAGTCCCAGTTATTGCATTTTTCTTGCCCGACGTAGACACTGGGATCTGTAAATGTCTTGGAGCGAAGGTAGTTGTGTGTTTGGAAGCTTCAATGATTAGTGACAATGTTCAATAGGTGGTTGAGAAGGGGGATGTTAGGAGTTCCTAGTAGTACTTCAAGAGGATTCTACAGGGGATTTTAGGGCCCTCTAGATGGTTCAAGATTTCTGGGATTCCTCCACCACCATCCATTTTGGTTTAATTTGTTCCACCATATTGTATCTGTGTTTCTTAGACTCCAGCAGAGGGAGCATCAGTGACCATCTACGCTGCTGCTGCCTCTGAAATGGAGGGAGTGGGGGGCTGTTACCTGTATAATGGCAAGAAGACTCAGTCCTCTGACCTTTCCTTCGACTCTGAGCTTCAAGAAGAGCTGTGGAAGAAGAGTTGTGAGCTTGTGGGCCTTCAGTAGGCCTGACACACTCTGCTGTGTCTTCGAAGGTCATTTGAGATAGGCTATCTTGAGCCACCGCCTCACTGTATTTTGTTCCGAAACTTAAATATCCAGATTTATAGTTGATTTTGAGATTAAGCTTGAATACAGAAACTTGCTGCTGTCCCTGTAGCAAAGTAGCAAAAGCCAAAATCCCTTAAAGAAAAATATAAATATTTTTTGAACAATGTCCCAGGTCTGATAAAGATGCTAAAATCATTCATGCTAACAATAACTTCACATGTTGTTCCCATGCACTGTATACACTGTGATAGCTCTGCTAGTTATAAGTTGTCCCAACCTAACACATGCAAATATAATCAAGCAAAACTAGTGAGCATAACAATTGAACCGTTAGGCCCCAAGCAGGGAAAGAAGGATACTTTCAATTTGGCTTCGATCTAACATCCTATTAATTGAGATAATGTTAGGCCACTTAAAGGTCCAGTGTGTAAGATTTAGGTGAAAGGGATCTATTGGCAGAAATTTAATGCAGAATAATCCTCATGATGTTTTCACTAGTTTTCTTTACCCCAGAAAAGACCCTTTATATTTAAATACTTTGTATTTACATCCAGGGGGTCCTGGAAAAACTAAACACCTTTTGAGTTTTTATGACAACGGAAGCTACCACAGTTTCTTTTTCATGTTTGGAAGGAGAGGGTGAGGTGAGGGGTGTTCAGCTGCAACATGCAATTTCAACACTACATATCACAAAATTCTACACACTGTACCTTTAACCTATCAGACTGCTTGAACATCTAAAATGTCACTTGGCTCTGTATGTTTTCATTTTCTCGTTCATAGAGTCATGAATGTGACTCTACAAGTTATATGTATGACTCATGATGAAACACAAGTGCCACATTTACCTGTCTTGTTTAAGACACTATATCAGATTTTAATATGAGTTTCATGCCAAGGTTTTTATAGAAGAGCAGCTTATGTTGAATAATCACAAAGCCTGGGCACTTGTTGAACATAAACGTTTTAGCAGTGTCTATGAACAACTCTATTTCTTAGAAATATTCTGTCTTCAAGAATGTTTAAACATTTTTTGTGACCTAATTATCAATTATCAAGAAAAATAATTTGTAAGTACTGACATATCAGCAATTATATTAAGTAGCATATTAGCAATCAACAAGCCTTGTATTTAATGCGTTCTTCCTTGGACCCCTTCCCCACCTTTTCTTCGAGTTTCAATTCCATTATTGCAGTAGTTTTTGTGCCTTAACCACTCAACATTAAGTATTTATTATAACATCTAATACAGTTTGGAAGTGTATTTTCTGTGCAGTGTAATTATGACTATATTAAATATATGTGAATCTTTAGGTGCTGGAATTTATGAGTTACAATGAAAAGATATGTATGTCTATTTTAAATGATCAGGGACTGGACCCCTCTTAGTACAATTTTATTACATGTAGTTCTGATATTTGAATGTGCCATGCCTCTTCTGCTGCAGTTGTCGGTTAACAATGTTTCCTTTCAGACACGCCCTCCATATATGAAGAAAAAATAAAACATGTCTGCTAAGATGCAAAATAGATCAATTGTGATTTGTTTGATTAAACATGACGGTATCCACTCAGGGAAAGGTCTAAGTGAAGATATGTTTGGTAAATCTTTTTTTAGCCAGAGCAGTGTTCAGGTTGAACTGTCCTTCATCTGTGCTGCAGTCATTGTAGCTTATGAATATCTTGTCCAGGATAAAAGTGTTTTTCTTCAAGATAAGACATTGTGATAATAACTTTCAGGCTATTGTTCAAGAGGTTTAGCGAGTCGTCAGAAGGTCGGCAGTTTGAAACCCATCTCCCCCTATGGTGTCCTTGGGCAGGATACTGAACTCCAAACTGCTCCTCATGATGTATGATAGAGAAAGTGATGTTTGAATGTATGTGTGATTGGCCAAAAATTTACTGTAAAACGCTGTGTGTGCTCATCAAGACTAGAAACTGTATTAAAATCAAATGACCAAACTGTTGATCATGATGCACACGAATGAATGAATTAATGTAATAGATTGTTATTAGTTACCATCACCATTCAATGTAATTAGATGGAAATAAGGGACACAATGATTAAGTAAAGTCACACTAATTAGAAACATAATTTCTCTTAATTGAAGAAACAGGATGATGGAGAAAGGTGTAAATGGATTTGCTTCAAACACTATATTATTTGTCCGGTTTGCATGTGCAGTCTTAGAAAGGCATTCTAGAATCCATATTACACTTCTACTATAATTTTGATTAAACAGAGACATAGATTACAGCATAGTGCATTCAGAAAGTATTTATTTTATGCTAAAATTAATTATCTTTCCCTCACCATCATACACTCATTTCCCTATAATGACAAAGTTGAAGCATTTAAGCTGTTTGATGAAATTTCAGATTGATATGTTAGATCAATTTTGGTCTTGTTTCTTCTTTTTATCATTTAGTTAAGGGAACATTTTAAAACTACACTATAACAAGGACAACTGGAAGACCATTAGGACTCCGTTTCACTTTGATTAATTTAATTTAGCTCACACAAACTATCATCCATAATTTTCAAATTTGCATGCATCAACAGTCAATCAGTCACAGTCATTTATAGAATTACCACAATGTATGTTTTATTTAATTAGAGGGCAAACATCAACCATACAAAGCATTAACATTTTCCAATACACCACCAGGTAAATAATTGCTGTTCAGACAAAAGATGAGGCCTAGTGCTCACTGGGCCACACTCACAATGAACCACAGACGCCTTAAGGTGCTTTTGAGGTTTAAAATAAACTGATCAGAGGATCTTAGTCACAACATTTTAATTCATAAACCATATAAAGGCTTGTAATACATCTCCATGCGTTGCTCAGCCTAAATAACGTTCTTTCATGCTTCTTAAAAGTAAAGGTTTACAGAGTGGATATTATGCACATATAATTCTAAGACTTGTTTTTGATCAAATTTGCAAGGATATAAGTAAAATGACGAAGACGTCTACAAACGTAAACAAAATATTTGAAAGCTGAACTAGTTAGAGATACACAGAAAACGGTTAGTGTACATACCAGAAAACATTGATAAAATAAAAGAGGTTTAAACTTGTGGTAACACAGCAAAGATAGAGATAAGGTCTTGGATTCCTCATATGGGACCAATGGAATTTCGTATTTATGTATCACTGAAAAACCACCTTTCTCGATAATGACTGGATGTATATGATATCATGTAAAGTATGAGCACAAATGTAACCAATCAGCCTTCATCTCCAAGGACCTTAGTTTTTACTACAGCTTGACATGAGAAACATTCGCAGTATTAGGCTTAAGTCAAGTTCTGACATGAAGCAGAATGTTGCCCCATACCTGACTCAGACCTTAGCTGTCACAAGCCTCCCTAACATGGAATTTCTATTCCAACAAAGTGTTCAATGTTCTTAAACATATAGAATATGCTGTTATTAAACTGTTGCTCCTTAGCCTGACTTTCATACACCAACTCATGCAAAATATCCATGAACAAACTTATAAAACACTGTATATTTTGCAAATTTGTAAATATTCAACACACACACGCTTGTTCGCTGTGAATTATCTGGAAAATAACTTTCTCTATTCACACACAGGCTCAATAATACATGACAGGCTTTGTACTAGGGAGCTGGCAGAAGTGAGTCTCTTAAATATCCAGATCCAATTACACAGTCATTTGCATTCAGACAAATAGCTCCTCTGGGTAGTAAAGTTCTGGGTTGCAGTGCGTGTGTGACTGCAGCTTTAGATTATTTAAGATGTAAATATTCAACATTCAACTTTACCCACAGAGCTGTGGAACAAAGGGGGTCGTTTCAGCACAAAGATTCACAGGCATCCTCGGAGCATCTCAAAATTCTGCTCCCTTAATGTATGAAAAGTAAAATTACCAAAGTTTAGACCTTGTGTCTCAATGCCACCGTTGCCTTTTACTTAAGGGGATGGTTCACCCAAAAATTAAAAATCACTAATTTTCTACTCACCACTGTGCCAATGGAGGGGTGGGTGAAGTGTTTTGACTCCACAAAACACTTCTGGTAATCAGCATTGGAGCCAAATCCAATACAGTTGAAGTCAATTATGATAAAACAACAGAAAAAACATAACATGCCTCGTGTGGTGTCATCCAAGTGTTCGCAAGCCCTGACATTCATATTCGAAAAAGCGTCATTTACACCGTGTTTTCAGCCTAAGTGTCCTCTGATCCTCCTGGAGGAGTAGTCACGTAACCACGGGCACACCGGAAAACTGCACACACTCTTGCCCAAGGCCACGCGTGGGGTGCATGTTCTGGTAGTGGACTTTGAGGCTTTGAGTCGAACATGAAAATCAGGGCTTGCAGACACTTGGATGACACCACACGAGCAGTAAGGGGGCACGTTACATTTTTTTTTTCAGTTGTTTCATTATGTCTGAAGAAGTGGAGTTTTCATTTTGCGCTGAACTATCGCTTTACATTGCATGAGTGAAATCTGCAGCGGTCCAGTAAAAGTCAAGGGGCTTTAGTGTCAGCTCTGGACAGAACAAAATAATTTGGCTGACCTGCAATCATTTCCCAACAAATGTGGTTACAGTAAAGTATGTTTTTATCCGATCAGTCCTGTCATTAAAACACTGTAACAGAACGTGAATTAGTCATTTATGACACAATTATTATGGAAAAACTCAAATAAATACCAATAAAATATGAGTGCCAGGGGTCCAAATTGCATTTGATGTAATTTAATAGATGTAGTTGGAGCTGAGAGCTTTAACACATCTTCCACCTAATCAAGAATAAAGATTTTGCTGTCTCTGTCTCACCCAAAGAAATTTGTCTTAGGTCTGGACTTACAGAAATCTTCCTCAGACCCCTCCAAGTCTACTGTATCATGGAAAGTTGTGCTGTGGACAATCTGTGATGCCCTCAAGCGAAGCCTCTGCAGTTTTGGCTTCATCCTGCTGAGAGAAGACCTTCTCCTCAGGGGTTTCTCTCTGATTCGGCCCTCCCCATCTACAGAGTCAAAGTCACTTAGGTTCAGCAGCCAGAGGGGCTTCAGGTTAGATTGGAGAACCTTGGAGAACCTCCAAAGGCCTCTGTCCCTGCAGTCAGCATTCTCTGAGTTTGATTGCTCGTAAGCTCCTATGATGTCCTGTATGTCCACACTCACACTGTCAGTAAGGTACTGGCAGGCCTTCCTTCCACTATAGTCTCTGGTCTCTACATCAGCATTATAGGCGCCCACCAGGATCTTCACCACCTCCATGTGGTTGTGCATAGCAGCTATGTGTAGAGGCGTGTAGCCAGTGTTGGATCTAACATCAATATCAATTGGAATGTTGTTCTGCTTGGCAAAGCTAATAATAAGTGCTATGAGCTCAGGATTGCCATGCTTGGCGGCCCAGTGCAGGCAGGTGAACCCAGAGACAAAATCCTTCCTTAGGATGAGACTGGGTTCAGTGGAGAGGAGGCGGTTCAAGCTGTCCCACTCACCATCTGAAGCACACATCATCCACTCATGTTCCAGAGGGTCCAGAGTGACTGAAGTCCTGTCTTCATCCAGGGTGGAGGAGAGCATGGAGCCGGAGTCACTGACACTCCTGGAGGACAGGTAAACTGACCTGCGCAGCACCATGCTGCGCCTCACCTGGGGGGAAGTGTCCATCATGACCTGGATGAAGTGTTTGCGGCTGCTGTTACCTTCACTGCCACTGAGACTGCAAGTATCAAACTGTCCCTCATTGTCCACGTCGTCTGTCTCAGGCTGCCTGGATCTGCAGTGGGATCCTTCAGAGTTTCTGCTGCTGCTCACAACTTGAATATGCGCTGCAGTAGCTGAATCCGCCTGTCCTGTGCTATTAGTCCTTACAGGGCTGGGTAGGGTGAACACAAATTCCTCTTCCGAAAGAGGCGACGCTTCAGTCACTGAGATTTCTGGTATGGCAGGTGCTTGTCTCGCCTGCTGTTTCTTGGAGTCCCTCTTCTCTCCCCAAAAGCTTCCTGTGTTCCCCATCTCACCTGAGCTGCTGTCCACCTCTCTAACTTTCCAAACAAACTCATGACACGGACAGACACCATTCGAAGGAGGAGCCTCATGCCGAGCCCTCACCTGGTTGTCACTTCCGGTAACCTAAGCCTGGTAGAGCCTGTCTGTCCTGAATACCCTGAGGACTTATGTCCGCTGCTGTTTCTTTCAAATAAAGCTTTGCTGCTCCTTACCTGCCCATTGGAACCTCTTCCTCAGACAGACTACTGTCTTTAAACATCAGCATTTTGTTTCCATCCTTGACGAGTGGTTTCGAAATATTAAAGTCTTGTGTACCTGCGCAGGTTGAGAGAGAGACAGGCACAGCCATGGAGAGCGCTTACTGCCCATCACCGGAAGTTCTTTACTTTTAATTTCACCACAGCCTTTGTGAGGTGTCTGGTGTGACTACTGTACTTTCTTGTATAGATGTCGTCCTATGTACTGAAATAAAACCGATTACTAAACAGTACGAAGCCGTGTTTAGTTCGCTCCAGCACTTCACAATAAAAGCGTTTTGAAAAAAAATGCAGGCATGCAATCAAAAGAAAGGCTGAAATGCTTTTATTTTGAAAACATCAGACGACAGGAAATGTTTCAAACATTTATGTTCATGGCAGATAAACGTTATAAATGTGGTGAACGATCATTGTAGAAGGAAGTTGAAAACGCGATCAGGAGGAGAGGATGACGGCGACTAAGGCAGGAAGTGAACTAGTAAATATTGCTGCAAGTCAGTCGCATGTCGTTTTTCAGGTGCACAATTTGTCGCGCGTTTACGGTAATCAATCACATGGGATTTTTTTTTTTTTTTACAAGCCTGAGAAGTTTGGCTCCATCCATACTGCTGCTGTGGTGTCACCCAAGTGTCCGTAAGCCCAACATTCAAATTCGTAATTTACACTATGTTTTAAGCCTAAATGTCCGTGCTTATCCACACCCCAGAGCTGTGGTCACATAAAAGAACACTACAAAGGATCATATAAAGCAAAGAATTCCTTTCATCCATTGTTGTCAGTTTTCTTTAATGCACAGTCTTAGATTGCTTTGATTTCTCTGCTGGGGCATTTCTATGCCTCAGCGTCCGTCTCGAATGTACCTGTTGCAAAGGTAAAAGATGTATACAATCTGAGAAGAAACAAGAGAGTGTGGGTGTTTTGCCTTTGCTGAAGAAGAAGGAGAAAAGTACACCATGATGCCTGCCTTACACCATGATGTAAGACACCATCAGGCAATACCTATTACACACACATTCTTCATACTTGCCCAATGGTGTGAAGTGTGTGTGTGCGTATGTGTTGGGGGGGGGTCCTTGGTTTGACATTGGTGGTTATAGTAATTAAAAGCGACTAGCAATTGTATGGATCTGATAATCTGTAACTACACCAAAAATATATACCTGTCTCCTTCAGCTGAAAGAACAGATTTTGCGCCTTCAAGAGGAGCTGGATCGAGAGAGGGAGGAGACAAACTCCTTTCAGCTGGAGAAGGAAGAAATTAACGCCATCTCTGACAACAAACAGAGAGAGCTACAGGATATAATAGCTGAACTGCAAGTGCTACAAACTGACAAAGCAAAGAATGCACAGTGCCACCAAGCGGAGATTAAGGTAAGGGAGTGGACAGATACAGGATTGGTGTAGATTGATACACTGTCAAACTGCTCAGTTTGACAGGAAACAAGGTGGTCCAGATTTAATGGCTCTTTAAATGCAACCAATCGATGCAACCTTTATTTAACTGAATTTGGACAACTTAGTCGGGACAAGCTTTACTATCCCACAATCCATTGTGTACTTTCTTTAGTAGCGTTGAACTACATTTACCATCTGCCCACACTCAATTTGTCGTTAATCATATACACTTTGAATGCAACACTTTTATACATTATTAAATTATAACATACTGTCATCCAGAGTTAAGAGACTGATTTTTTGTGATTTTCATGAAAAGCAAAGATTATGGAGATATACTGATCCTTTCATGAGTTTCACTGGTGAAATGTAAAATCAAAGCTGCTGAATATGTGATCTTTGCTTGTGTGAGAGTAGGATTTAAAGGAAGTTTAAAAGCCCTGTTAAAGCAGGTCTACAGAATGGTTGCATGGGATCCAATAGCCACATCCACGGCAACAACTGTGACATATCAAAAGAGAAATCATTTTATATTCAACTTTTTTGTTCTCCCCACTAGGTGTTTAAGAAGAGGATGAAGCACCTCCTTTGTGAACATCAGAACATGATCACTGAGTTGAGAGCAAGTAGTTTAGTAACTACAGAAAAGCAGCAGAAGGAGCAACAAAAAATAGAGACTGAGCTTCATAAGAGAATGAAGAGCATCAAGGTTGATATCGAGAAGATTAATGATGAATGCCTTGTCAAGGAGCTTAAACTGGTTTGTAATATACACCAAGTCTACATGGTTTCTAAACCAGTTATTTTGTTTTGCCCCGATGTGTTTCCTTCAAATGCCAGTGTGATTGTTGTCTCAACAGAAAGATGCAGAAGAAATGATTAAATTGAGGGACGAATTGGAGAAGCAACTCAAAGGTAAACTAGAGTCACACTCAGTAGACAGCATATCTCTGCCGAAGCCTTATGGTCGCCTTGTACCTGATGTTTTCATCAATAAAATCCATAAATGATTACCTTGGAAGTTGATGAAAATTTAAAAAAGCCAATAATTCGCAATGTTAGAAAAAAAACTCCTGGAAATCAACAGTCTCTGCTGTCATCTTGTGTTGCTTTTTGAATAGAAACTGAAGCTGTGTATGGGGAAAAGATGGCGTTGATCCTACAAGAGCTGGACATCATGAAGAACAATGGGTTCATTAAGAATGAAGATCACTGGAACAGCCACATTGACGGTCTCATATCAGACCACAACAAAGCTCTCAATGAAGCTAGTGAGCTGGGTAGAGACTTACTACAGGTTGTGGATGGGAATGATTTACTCAAGGTACAAGTTCACACACTCAGCCTCTCAGAATTAAAACAAAGAAATGCTTGATGTTTCATCTGGGCCTGCAAATTATCTGCATCATTGATGAGTCTGTTGATTATTGATTATTAATTGTTTTGTCTATACGATTAGTGAAAAATGGTTAAAAAAAAAACAACTAAAAACTACTGAAGCCTTGTCTTGACAGATTATCAATTTGACATCTATTATTATATCTTTTGGATTTCTCTTAGTTGTTGCAGCATATTTTTTATTCAGTTATGTTTTTCTTCACGTTTAATTTTACTATCTTTTTTAGACACAGATTAAAGAAATGAAGACCAAGCTGAAGGAAAAAGACCTGACCCTTTGTTTGTGTGATAACAAACGTCTTGCTGAGCTTCTCTTGAAAGCTAAAGAAGAAATCGCTGAAATGGAGGCAAAAATTAAACGCAGCGGAATGGAAACTGTACTTACATCTTTAAAGTCGATTTTACAATTCCAACTTGTACACTTATATTAATTGCTATCAGCTTCTTAATTGCTTATTTGTTTAGAATGTGTTTTAGTCACTGCCGTGTAGCATACTGAACATTAACATAAGTGACTCTATTTATGACAGAACACCAAAGAAAAGATCGCAGTAAAGAAGATGAAAGATCTAAAGCGGGATCACGAGAAGCTGAAAGAGAAATTCAACAAGGTAAAAGTTAAGATTTAGTTGCACTGAGTCATAATCGCTCAAATGTTTATTTGATTTGTCTGCACCTTGGGTGTTAGCCATAAGTAAATGTTTTTGCATCTGTATGTCGTGTGTGTGTATGTGTATGTGCATGTCGCACAGCTTCAGCTTGAGAGGGATGAGCTGAACAAGACGCACTCCCAGTCTATTCAGAAGGTGCAGCATAAAGCAGATCTGAAGAACATGCAGCTGGAAACGAAGCTGAAAGCTCTCACAGACAGTCTGGAGAAGACAAATGCTCAGCTCTACTCTGTGGTCTCTGCCCCTAACATGGACCAAACAGCCCTTCATGAGGTCATTAAGAACATTAAGGTACCTCATGACTTACTCCTCAGCAGTCACTCATATTCTTGGTTGTTGATGAAATTAATTTTATGCTGTTTGTACATGAAAGAAGGAGGTTTTATTTTTATGTCATCTATTTTTCACTTGTAGGAAAACCTTGACTCCAGCAATAATACCATCAGGATCTTACAGTATAAAAAAGATCAGATTTCCAAGGTTAGTGGTTCATTTACATATTTATTTAAACAATGATGATATTTAGAAAAATTTGGTACTGAAAATCATACTTTTGGTCCTGACAGGCACGCAAGGATTTGCTACTGTACTGTAAGGCCAAGCTAAGGGCTGTTGGTGTCCCAGTGGAGGAGCTTCGTCTTGAGCTGGAAAAAGTCAGGCACAGGTCTTAGATCTTTGCTTTTCCCAAAAGTGAGAAAACAGACATTTTAGATAAAAACACCATCAACAAAGCTGTGAAGCAGGGACTGTTTTCTTAAAGCCAAAGCAGCTTCATTAAAAAAAAATATTTACCAGAAGTTGTAAACTTCAACAAAATGTTCTACCCTCTATTCGTACCTGCTAAATTCACTTTAGTCTCAGTCCTCCATGGCATGCTTTTTCATGTAAACACCGTTTCCTTTTACATGTGTCACAGACATTTCTTTTTTCTTTGATTAATGTCCGGGTTTCAAACATCCAAAACACAACCTTTTAGTTTGCACAAACTTGACTCGTTCTGCTATCAGCTTGTCTTTCTTGTCTGTCAACTTTCTACATGCATAAATGCCATGGTTTGACTTCTCACAAAAGACACATTCTTTAGCAGCTGCCTTTACTTCATAGCTGCTTGCCAGTATTTTTGCACCAACACCTCTAGTCTTTGGTGTCTTCACCTTTTCACCATCACTAGACTTCAGAGCGTGAAGAGAGATTACTGGATTACATACTATCTTGACTTCAAATGTGTAAAACTAAAGAAACGGACTGAACGTTTGGAATTCCTTCCTTCCTTCTTCAGTCTGCATGACCTTTATGTTCCACCTGGCTGTTAACCAATCAGGAAGCTTGGTGAGCATTTTTTGGATTTCACCACTGCAACTTCACAGCCCCGAAGAAAGTCTGAGAACTCTCTTAGTTCAGTGCTGTCATTTGGTCCTATCTTTGGCCATGTGTTGAAAAAAAAGGAGTTTCTATACCTTTCCTCCTGGATGTGCCATGCTGTATAGTATGCTGCATTTGTTCCGAACAGGAAGTAACTCTCACTAGCTTTCTTTGCAGGTCTGCCAACATACTTGCGGAGGTCGATTTTCTCATTTACTGGTATGTTTTTCCTGTCTACTAATGTTTGAAAGGACATTTTCCTTTGAACCTTTGTGGCTCTCCACTGAAAACAGAAGGATCTGGTACTGGGAGACTAGACTCTACTATTGCTGTGGCAAGTGCTATCTTCCTGATGAGCATCATTAGCAGGTTGCACCCTTGTAGCATTTGTGTCATCATAGCAGTTTGTACATGTGTGGCTTGTTGTGGTGGGTCCACGTGATGCACTGAAAGACTTATTTGACAGGTTACCCTTTACCCCAGTAAATACCCTTTATATTTACATCGAGGGGACCCTCTCTTCGGAGGCCGCCATGTTTTTTACATTAGTCCAGACTGAACAAACTAAACACCTTTTGAGTTTTTATGACAACTGAAGCTACCACTGGTTCTTTTTGATGTTTGGAAGGAGAGGGTGAGGTGAGGGTTGTTCAATTCAATTCAATTCAATTCAATTTTATTTATATAGCGCCAATTCATAATTTACATTATCTCAAGGCACTTTACATTTAAAGGTCAAGACCTTAAAACAATATTAACATAGAGAAACCCAACAGTTCCCACAATGAGCAAGCACAGGCGACTGTGGAGAGGAAAAACTCCCTCATTAACAGGGAGAAACCTCTGGCAGAACCAGGCTCAATGTGGGCGGTCATCTGCCTCGACCGGTTGGGGTGAGGAAAGGAAAGTAAGGGGGGAGGAAAGGAGAGATGGGTGGAAAGCGGGGGAGAGAAGAGAGAGATGAGGTGGAGAGAGAGAGACCGGGAACAATT